TGCTCAGGCTGGTCTCAAACCCATAAGCTCAGGCAATCCACCCGCTTGGCCCTGAAGTTATTTATTTCATTTTGTTGTTGTTGTTGTTGTTGTTGAGACAAAGTCTCATTCTATCACCCTTGGTAGAGTGCCATGGCATCACACAACTCACAGCAACCTCCAACACCTGGGCTTAGGCAATTCTCTTGCCTCAGCCTCCTGAGTAGCTGGGACTACAGGTGCCCACCACAATGCCCAGCTATTTTATTGTTGCAGTTTGGCCGGGGCTGGGTTTGAACCCACCACCCTCGGTATATGGGGCCAGCGGCCTACCCACTGAGCCACACGTGCCGCCCCTTTATTTCATTTTTTATTGACTGGTTGGTTGGTTGATTGAGACATAGTCTCATGCTGTTGCCCCAGCCTGCAATACCATGGCAACAGCCTACCTCAGCCTTCTAGCCTCAGCCTTCCAGTAGCAGGGACTACGGGGACACACCAGTAGAGCGGGGACCTTGCTTTTGCTCAGGCTGATCTTGAACTCCTGACTTCAGCCTCTTGGAATGCTAGAATTTTAAGCATGAGCCCCTGTGCCTAGCCAGGCCTATTTATAAGTGCAGATAATGGCAAAGCTGTTGGAAACCAGAAAATCATTTGAATATTTAAAACTGGTTACATATTATGATCCACAAGGACCAAGCCTGAATGCAATTTCAAGTAAGAATCTAGTTGATAATAGAATGTAGTTCAGATTTGAGGAATATGCATAGGGAAGCCACATAATATTCGCTTTTAAATGGAACTAACACATTTAAAACAGTAGCTAGTGAACTAAACTCAACAATTAAATAAGTGAGATGAAAGCTATATTAACCAGTTTGATGTAAACATTCCAAAAGGTATATAAAATCAGCACACTGTACCCCATAAATGCAGTAATGTACAGTTATGATCTAATAAAAAAGTGTGATCTTTTACTTTCTACAATAAGCCCTATTTTTAGGAAATTAGGATTCTTTTTGGTTAAAAACCATCTGTAGCAAGTGTAAGACAGGAGGATCTCTTGAGCCCTTGAGTTTGAGGTCACAGTGAGCTATGATCCAGCCACTGTACTCCAGCATGGGAGACAAAATGAGACCCTATCTCTAAAAATGAATAAAAAATCAACAGCAAGCAGACTCTTTTACCTGTACAGTGATACTGTGAGGAATTAAGTTTTTAGATTAAATCCTGTACTTGAATATATTAACAATCCTTCCATGTACTCTTACTATTACATTTATATAAGTCATCATGTAGTTCATTTGTAATCATTAGAAATTAGTAAAATATAAGATTTACTCAAGTATCACCTCCTTTGAGACACCTATCCTGACTACAGCATTCCTTCCATGGACAGATAACCACTTCATCCTCTGTACTCTTGGGACTGACACTACTCACGTTGTTGCAGCCACCTGATCACTTGATATATTTTTTGACACAGAGTCTCACTTTGACCCCCTTGGTAGAGTGCAGGGACATCATAGCTCACAGCAACCTCAAACTCTTGGGCTCAAGTGATCGTCCTGCCTCAGCCTCCCAAGTAGCTAAGACTAGAGGTCCGTCTATTTTGAGAAATGGAGTCTCCCTGTTGTTCAAGTGGGTCTGGAGCTCCAGAGCTCAGGCAATGGACCTGCTTCGGCCTCCCACAGCGCCAGGATTTCAGGCGTCAGCCACAGGGCTGGCCTAATGCTTGGTATCTTCATGTAGGCACAGTGAACTCCCTCAAAGTAGAGATAAGGATTCAGCTGCTGACCTAGCTCCATTCCTCAAAGTAAACGCTCAACTAGTGTTGTCTGAAAGGAAAAAAAGCCAACCCCCACCAGGCAGTAAAGAAATGCAAGGAGACCAGCCTACGCAGGAGCCAGACCCCATCTCTACCAAAAATAGAAAAACTACCAGGCATTGTAGCGGGTACCTGTAGTCCCAGCTACCCGGGAGGCTGAGGCTGAACGATCCCTTAAACCCAGGAGTTTGAGGTTGCACGGCTGATTCAGACTCTGTTTCAATAAAAAAGAAAAAAATCAACCGTCCAACCTCTAACTAGCAAAAACTTCTTTCTTTCTTTCTTTTTTTTTTTTTTAGAGACTTTACTTACTTTATTTATTTAAAGGCAGAGTCTCATTTTGTCGCCCTCAGTAGAGCGCCGTGTGCTGTGGCGTCCTCACAGCAACCTCCAACTCCTGGGCTTGGGTGATTCTCTTGCCTCAGCCTCCCGAGTAGCGGGGACTACAGG